TTTTGTTTTTAATTAAAATAAAGTTCATCAATAATTTTTTTAAATGTAAGTATTTTTTTTGTAAATATAAGTACTTTTCCGTATATTTGTTTCATTTTATAAAATGTAAATATTATCTTGAATAAAAAAATGTTTAAGAACTTAATCGTTCAAAATATGTAAGTCCATCGTTTTATTTTCTCCAGAGTTTTCCATTATTTTACCATATTAACAAGTTCTATAGGTCATAAGAATGTATCTAACATGTTTTAGAAAATTCAAAAAGTTATTTAACATATTTTGAAATGTCCAAAAATTTATTTGTTCCAAAAAATTATTCAAAGACTTAAATCATTCCAAACACTAAAATCCATTGAATTTTTTTAAATTTTTCCCAAAATTAAACACCCCAGTGTAGCTCAATGATCAATTCCATTTTTATTGCATGCTTTCAAACTTGTGACATTGATTACATAATATTCAGAACGATGCATACATACAAACACCATATGCTTCTTTAATTATTTGCATGTATTTGTATATGTTCTTCTTCTTCTTCTTCTTCATCTTTTGCTGCAACTATTTGCAAGTAGCAACCAAAACCCTTCTTGGAGCTAATGATGGCCTTCTTCCATGGAGTGTAGCCCAATTATCCAGAAACAATACATCTCCCTTCTCCCACTTAAACTGTATGCTTTCATCCTCTATTATCTCTTCACATCTCTTCACTATCTTCTCCGGTATCTCCGTCCCATCCGCCATCATTGCCGAGCTCAGCTCCTTCCCGTGCATCCCCACCAACGTGTTGAACCACATTCGCCTCCCTTTCCTTCCCTCAAACACTTTTGTCAATGGTCTTGGACCTAGGATTGTCTTCACCCCACCGTTCTCCAACCATTCGACGTCCATCCCAAGAGCCTTTGCCCTGTCAAATCACGTACATGAATTAAGGTGTTTGTATATTGATACTCGTAATTAATCAAGTTAAACTGTTGTTTGTTTGTTTGTTTGTTGTGCTGAATAAATGATGTCATGTGACGTGTAGTGTATACCTTCTCTCAGCTTCTTGTTGGTCATGTGTTGCAAAAGCGTCCTGCCAACCGCGACCCCTCATGGAGGTCGTGTTGTCGTTGCTAAGAGCGGTGAACGTGTATTTCAATCCCTTCGCCTCAACTTCCTCAACAAACTCCGGGAACTCCTCCAACATTCGTTCGGTGACCTTGAAGCTCGGCACAAATGGCGTCTCTCCACCCTCCGGTGGCGGGATTTCGCAGAAAAGTATCACCTTCTTTGGAAATTCTTTTATCTAAGCACGGATCGAGAATATATATATATCTCAAACACAATCGCAAACAATTTTCTTTCGTAAAACGATAGAATACATGGTTAACTTGAGAATATACGGAACCTAATTAGATTACTCCAAACAAGCCCTTGACGAGAAACAAAAATTCCAACAGTTAAAAGAACTACAATAAAATCAGATTTATAAAACAGAAAATGTCTAAGGGGCCGTTTACTAAATACTTACCCGGTAAGTGCGGATCGGGTAATTTTTCTCACTTGATGCATATGGTAAGGGCTGAAAATCTTACCTGGTAAGAGCGATGATAGAGATAGAGAGTCTTACCCGGTAAGTGATGATGAAGACTCTTACCCGGGTAAGCGTTTACGAGGTAAATTGTTGCATACGATACCTTTTTAATATAATACAATCTTATCTGGTAAAATAGATTAAAGTACTGACTCCTACCGGTAAGCGCTTACCGGGTAAGTATTTGGGTAAACGGCCCCTAAGTGTCATAATAGATTGCTTTATAGTATTTAAGTTTATAGGAAAAACCAATACAATTTCTATCTAAAAGTGTTACAAAAAGTTTATATAGCACGTATTAACAAGGTTTTTAGTACAATTTTTTTTATAAATGTGTCGTGTTAATCTATACTATATTATAAAGCATTTGACAAAAACTCTTAAAAACCACTTTTTATGCGTAACGTACTGTTTATTAATGCATATTACTTAAAACTCAAGATTGCAAGTATATTGTGCATAAGTATAACTTATTAAAGCTCCATATCTGAATTCGTGTAACTAACTGCAGATAAATATAATCAAATACATGATAAACATATCATTTTAAATATAAAAAATCTAAAATATAATTTGGATAATCATTGAGTTCTAAAAGAATACTTAATTATTATCTATTAAAATATTTATATTATTAAACAAAAAATAAATTATTTCGTTATTAAATTTAAATTAAATTATAATAAAAAAATAAATTAAAGAAATTACATAAAAATGAGAACTTTTAAATAGTTGATTTGATATTGACATTGATATATTTTTTTTCAAATTTTTATGATATCTTTAAATTTATATTTTATTTAAAAATAAAATCATTAATGCTTTCTTAAAAACACATAAAATCGTATTATAACATCGACAGAGATAAATAATAAAATAGAACATTAAAACCGAGATGTGTCTCGCTGCATTGCGCGGATACTCTTTTAGTTATTTTATAGAACATTTTGAGAAGTATCATATGAACGCATTTTTAACAAGACAAATTTTCAAATAGTGTTACATAAAAAAAAGTTAAACATGATGTTTTATTTCTAAAATGAACTAAAAGACTTGTTAAGATGTCCAAGTCGTCTTATAAACTTATTGTAACACTTTTTGATAAAATGCTTTATTGTTTAGTTCTATAAACTTATATCTTACAAAACATTCTATTAAAACATTTGAATTTTTTTGATGTTCTATAAAACCCAGATAATCATATATTGGTTTGACTTACTAGAACCATTTCATGATGGTAGTAGATGAACTCCGAAAGCGGGCCTTCATTTGCAGTCCAAACCCTCTTATGGATATGCGTTCGTGGTGCGGGTCCCACGTAACGGATATCCTCCCAACCAAACGTCTCCACGATATCATTGAACTCAACCGCGCGCTTCACATCAAATCCTCGTAAAAGAACCGCACTGTTCTTCGTCACCATCTCATCGAACCATTCCTTGTTGTTCTCTAGAACCTCAAGTAACGACTCGACACCGTTCTTGCTCGGTTCGGTCGGCGTGAGCACCAACGGCAAAGTTTCGCCATCGACCAACTTCTCACCCTCACATTTGCCTACCTTAAACTCCTTACAATTGTATTCCATTTTTGACACTCTGTCACTTGATGGTTATGGGCTCCTTTGGAAGAGTTGCAAAGAGATGGAAGGGATGAAGGAGTATGTATAGGCACAGTGACGGATCTGCCTATGTTATTCCATTTATACCCCTTCAAATCTAAAATCAATAACATGGTCCCAATTAATTTAAAAAAACCCTAATAATATATTAATTCAAATTAAAAAATATATATAAATTATTGTTTTCTCTTATGATTTGTTTAATTTAGTTTTTAGTATTATTTAAAAATTAAGATTAATAAAATGGAGTTTTTTTTATAACGATAATGATGGAATATTAGGTCGTTTTAATACGCGATAATGGTTCTGTAATTCGTTGGTAATTAATTAGTTTATAACTTTGTTATTAACAGTGTTTAAAAAGGCGTGTCTTCGTCGTTACAATAAGGTTTATAGCGTTTTTATAAAGCATGATTTACGTCATAGGTACAATAAGATGTGCGTTTTTTTTACAATTCGTGACTTGAAAAAAAATATTTTTTAGGGTTTTGTGTATTTACACTTTTAAATTTAGATTTCACAGTTTTATAGATTTATTTAATCACATTATTCACATTATTCACGGATTGGTACACGTCATGGACTTACGATTGGAACAAAGTTATGAAATTACTCTTCCAAGTTTTATTTTGAATATTTAATCAAATACTATATTTATAATGATAATATATATGATTTATCTTCTTTTATTATAAATGTAATTTTTTTAATATCATTATGTGATTGAATAATATATATGTATATATAATTCCACATATGACATACAAATTTGTCGTCTTATGTTACAACTTGAAAAATACTGTGTCTTCCCTGTGACATGTAAGTCTTAAGGTTTGACCCTGCCGCACGCTATTTTTTTTTGGATTAACCTGAATATCCAACCCGCTATGCGAGCTGACTAATCCCAAGGCGATCACCTGCTTTGCAGATAGCCCGGAGTCACCGCATTTGAACCTCTGTGGCGACAAGAGAATTTTTATTCCTTCTTGGATTTGAACCTGGGACCTCCAGGTACTTTTGACATTTAAAGCCAAACTCAAACCAATCAAACACCATCCTTATACGATGTATTTTGAACGTTAAAGATTTGCATTAATTAATCTAACAGTAACAAATACTTACAAGGTTTTATCTACAACTTGAAAGGAAATTGTTTTATAATACAAAATAGATTCTTCCAACATATTCATTAATGAATATGATGATCATATCAAAGATGCTTATTTGTCTTTTAGCCTATATATAAAGACAATTACTAATTGAAGATACTTAATATTGGTTTTTACCGTCTTCATTCATTTGTTTAAGCCTATATTTTGTCTTTTTGGTGTTGATTCTACAAGAAAATTGAATTATTCTCTATAATTACATGTTAAAAATGCCGAAAGAATCTGATATCGATATGAAAAACCCTACAAGACAATTTTTCATGCCAAGCCTTTGTTTGACGCCAAATGTAGTCGTTTGTTTTTGTAAACCGAGTGCTACTTAACTTATTCGTGCTAATTTCATGAGTTTGTATTAACAACAATATGTGGTCGCAATAACTTGTGGTGGAAACATGTCATCGCTAAAAGGCGCATCGTCAAAGCTCACTTTTTTTGTAGTGACCCTCGATAAATATGAAAAAAATTTAATAAATGTTATTCATTTTGTATAAAGTTGAGTACAAGAAATGCTAGTAATTTACTGAGGAAAAATCTTATTTATCTTTATTATAGATATATAAGAGAGTACTTAAATTTACATACTTCTTATTAGGTAATTTGAAACCAATAGTATAGAAATTGTAGTTGATAATTTTTTATAAAAAAGTAAGAATTTTATTAGTTCATAGCAAGAAATGTGTTATTTTGATAAACAAGAGAATTCGTGTGAAAGAAATAATCGTGAGGGTCAATGAGAGATCAATAATATAGAAGATTATCAAGGTTTTCTAGACACGTAAACAAATGATGATCAATAAGAATATGGAAGAAAAGATGATCCACTGAGATTCAATAAGAATAAATAATAAATTAAACATATAATATGCAAGCTCAACAAATGGTTGTTTGAGTATTTAAATAGAATCTCATAGTGTCGTGGAATTCCAATTAAAGATAAATAAGTCAAATAATTCTTTTTTCCTTCTTATTTTTGCTCAACTAAAATAAGATGTAAAACTTAAAAGTTTATGGAACATGACATATATAAAAGACATTACTAAATACATCTAGTAGGGAAAATTTATTGATTAATTACAAAATCATGAAACACGACATAAATCATATGAACAATAGATTTATCGTCAAACAATAGTAAAATATTTTATGTAGAAGCAAAAATAGATAACAATAGTAAAAAAACCATTGGAACAACATAACCAAATAGCAATAGTCAATAGAAGCAAAAATAGATAAAAATATCCAACAAAAATATATAGCAATAGCAACCACATGATTTTAATGTTGAATTGTTGAAACACGAAAATAGTCAAGGATATAGAGATAGCAATAGCCAATGTCCTTGGACATTGTAGGAAATAAAAAAAATTAGATAGACAACAAATAATAGCATATAATGAATGATCAATTAATTTTTTTATATTTTTTCTCCAATGTAATTAGTTAATATATTTTTAGACCCTTATTATCTACTAAATTCTTTTTGCATCTTATTATATGCTACAATTTTTTTTGGGTTTCTTTAATTTATTAAAAAAATTTAGATTACTATGTTAAAAATTTGGACCCTTGAATGGTCACTTTAATAAAGATGCAATTAGTATATTAATTGTATATTTAAGGAGTGTTTGGTTAGAAATATTAATCAATGATCAATGAGAATGAAAATAAAAGATAGTAATGGACTTATTGCTTAAATTGGGGAGTCCTTGTCAATTTTATTAGGGTTACAGGGCATGTTTGTTAGCAACTTAATGAGTTTTATAAATATTAATTACTAAGGGGCTTACTCTGTAAGCACTTACCGGTAAAAACTAACACTATCATTTACTTACTGAGTAAGATTTTAGTCCACCAAAATGACATTGTATGCAACAATTTGCCCGATAAATGATTACCGTGGTATGAGTAGTCGTCTTCACTTACCGGGTAAGACTCTTGGTCCTTGTCTCACTCTTACCGGGTAAGATTCTTGGTTCTTTATCATATTCATCCAGTAAAATAATGTAACTTGATAAACGCTTACTTGAGTTACTTCAACTTTCACTCTATTATATTTCATACATTGATTGCTTCCATCCATGGGCGGACCTACCATGGTGGTTACGGTGGCACGTGCCACCGTATTATTTCTCCGTCGAAGGGTAAAATAAATTAGGTTCGTGAAAGGTGCAACCGTATTAATCTATTTGCGTGCCACCGTATGTATTTTGAAACTACAATGAGAACAAGTTTTATTTGGTAGAGTTGGTTTGCAAGGCTTTTATTCCACTCCAGACCCAAATTCAAATCTTGTTAGTGTCATTTTCTTAGTCAAATAGTGTCACAAATTGAAAAAAAATCCGTATATTTGTTTCTTATAGTCAACCGGTGCCACTGTTTGAAATTTTTTTGCTATAGTTTTTTTTATACTCAAATGGTGCCACCGTTTAAAAAAAATTCTGGGTCCGTCCCTGCTTCTATACTCCATATTTAAAAAATGCCGGAAGAATATTTATACCGATATGAAAAAACTACAAAGATATATATATATATTTCAAAGAAGTAACAAAAAAACGTCGACTTCGCAATTCGCAGGCAATCTTTGTTTGACATCAAAATAAATTTGCCATTTGTAATGTAAGTGGGTTTGAAAATGTTCGAGCTAAATATAATATCTATTTTGTTAATTAAAAAATTGATACTTGTATACACATGTGTGTATGTATAATGTATATATGCATGCATATACAGACGAAAGATCACGTGAGAAGGAAAGTTAAGGTGAGAAACATAAGAAGGGATATGGACCATTGATCACATTTAATCTCAAACCCACCCATGAATTGTGCTTGATATGGGGATTGATCCGATGCGTCTCATCTCGGTGTATCTCATTCTAATGTGCATCCAAGGGTGAAGATCTCTTCTTATGTTTTTCATCTTAACTCTCTTTCTCACCGGAACCCAGTCCTGCATACATATCCATGCAACTAAATGTAGAAAGTCAGATGCAATTTTCTTTTTTAAGTAAAAAGTTGATTATCGGTAACCTCAACTACTCCTATGTGGAACACGCCTCCAAGGATACCAATATAAAATACATTTTTTTGCTCACTCAATGGCTGAGGCTAGTGGCCCTAGGGAGGGAGGGATCAAACATGCGACCTGTCTTGTATTTGAATAAAGTCGCTCAGCTAACTTTGCCAACTGAGTTACACGTGTTACAATAAAATTGGCTTTATATGACGCTTATAATGTCCAAGTGTGCTAGTAGAATACTCTATAGTATGTAAGTTTATAGGACCAAACTCTAAAACATCTCATCTAAAAGCGTTGCGATAGGTTTATAGGACGTTTTTAGAAATTTTAACAAACTTTTTAGGATATTTTTAAAAATAAAGTGTCCTATTAGCTATTTTTATCGGACCATTTTGATAAGTGTACTATAAACCCATCTTTTTATAGGACACTTGTGTTTATATGACACTTTTCAAGTATTGTTGTATAAAATAGTTAATACGACACTTTGATTTAAAAAAGGTTCTAAAAACTTGTTACAACACCTAAAAGCATCTTATAAACCTATTGTAACACTTTTAGATATGATGTCTTGGCTCGGTCCTATAAACTTAATTCCATAAAATATTTTATTAGGTCATTTAGATATTTTAGGCATTTTATAAAACCAATTTAGTTGCAGTAACGTTTTCAATGGTGGCACAAAATAATTACCGTACTAATTAAAAAAAATAAAAACTAATTATAAAATTACATTAAATTTTATAAAAAATAATTATAGCTACCAAATACACTACCAAA